TTGGTGAGCTGACTGATAAAGAAATGAGCTACATGTTTCATCGGTTGGTGCGCGGCAGCGGGAGGAGTGTAACAGTGAGGGGTCGGGGGTTACTGACAGATTGGGTGCGCTCTGTCAGGAAAGGAAGGCGTGTCCGTCTACTAAAGAACAGCCGTTACTGAGGACTGAGGAGGACGGCGTGTCAAGCTAGGAGGAGCATTTTTCTGTGGAGGAGGGTGGGTAAGGTTCAGGAGGGGGGGGTGGGGTACTGAAATGGGAGTGGGGTAGTGGTGGTGTTGTGTTCAGGGGAGTATCTGTGCCTTTCTGGGACTCGTGCTTGGCCAGGCTCTCCTTGTGCTCATAGCCCAGGGCACACTGGTCCTGCTTCTCCACCTCTACCCCATACCGCCCTCCAAACCCACGCTTATAGTCTGCAACATAACACACACACGGACAAACACACACACACACACACATAAATAGACAAACAGAGACAATGATACAGCGACAGGTCTTCAGGATTCACAAACACTCAGTGACATGGAGGAGACACAGTCCAGTGGTTAAACCATCGCCGAGCTCTTTCACTGTGGTCAAAGCTCGACCACGAACACTGAGCTCCTGCTGGCTCCTGCTGGCTCCTGCTGGCTCCTGCTGGCTCCTGCTGGCTCCTGCTTGGTGCGAGGACCTTTCTGCTCCACTCGGGTCCCCTCCTCTCTCTGCACAACATGAATCTGTCCCTCCTCTCTATTTCTGGCTCCTTTCTTTCTCGGCCCCCTCTCAGGAGAACTGAATGTTTGTGACATTTACTGACTGGGTGCTTTGCTGTGGATATGTGGTCTTTTGACACAATGTCTGCCACACTGAAAATGCCAAGGTGGACATATTTTTAGCAGCTACCTTCCTAAGTGGGGACAGAGGCTATGTGAATGTGTAACTACATTAGGCTGTGAACTAGAGTGGAGTTTGTATGTTCTCCTCCGGTCTGTGTGGGTTTCCTTATGACCCACATCACAGGAAGACCTCAAATCTAGGAGTGCTGGTCCCAATAAATGAATTATAAAAAAGGTAACACTTCATTTACATCGTCTTTATAGAGTATTTGTAACACTTCACGAGTTTATTAGTCTGATATTACCACTGTGGTTAAGGTTTGGTTAGATTTAGGCACAAAAAACATCTCAGTAAGAGTTTGTTCATGAGCTATCACATATAGATAATCTGAACACTGTATCTGTACACGTTTACTACTGCACTTATTCACTGCTGAAGGCCCGACATGCAAATCTAAATCAGAGCTGTGGTTTCACTTCCTCTGTCTGAACCTTTTTTTTTTTTTTTTTTACCCGCAGATTGAGGAAGTTGTCAGCTTTTGAAAGACCACATCCAAAGCCACAATAAAACCACATCAGAGCAGACGTGCAGGGCTGAAGAAGAGAAGTTTAACAGTGAACGCACACTGCGTGCTTAACTCGAAGCAGACAGCTTGTAAAGGCTGAAGTTTGGTGGATTTTCTCCTCGTTCAAAGTTCTAGCAAAAGTCAAATGGAGTGTTTGATGTGCGACAAGAGAAACACACGTGTGGCTATCAGTGTTTTTCTTCTGTAGGAACAGCAGATTTTGAACAAAGGAAGCAAAGAATCACAGAGCAGCTATATATTCCATTTATACTGAACTTCTTATTTATGATGCATTTGTTACCAAATCTAAAATATTTACAATAGAAAAGACATCGACTGGTTTATCAAACTTTTATCGAGTAGATAAGCAAATAGGATGTGTTTGAGCAGGACAGGACTCAAACACACAAACTCTGTAGAAACAGAATCAGAACCAGTACCTTTCTGGGACTCGTGGAGCTGTAGTTTCTCCTGGTGGTCCCATCCCAGTGCCGACTTATCCTGTCTGTCCGTCTGCACACCAAACTTGCCCCCGAAGCCTTTCACATAGTCTGCACAAACACAGAGAGACGTTAAAGCCTGAACACGTTTGTGAATCCTACTGTTGTCCTCTGGTTGAACTACCTGCAGTAGGGCTGATAACATCATTATTCTGATATACTCCTTATATACACTGCAACTAACACTTATTTTCATAACGGATTAATCTGCCAATTATATTCTAGTGTCATCATTTGGTCTATAAAATGTCAGAAAAAGAAAAGTCAAAGGTGATGTCTTTAAATGTCTTCTTTTGTCAGTCCACAACTCAAAAGATATTCGGTTTATTGTGATAAAACAATGAGAAAAGCATATTTGAGGAGGCTGAAAATAGCATTTCCTTCAATTCTGCATAAAAATTACTTTAATAAATAAGCAATTATTAGAATAGTTTGGAATTATTTTTCTGTCAATTGGCTAATCGATTAGTCGACTTATGGCTGCAGCTGTAATTGTAAAGTGCATTTCTTGAATGTCAGCTCTTGGTTAACTCAGTTATATAAATACCTGATACATAAAGACAATTTCTTATACAGACAGAAACTTAAAAGCGAATACGTCCTCAAACAGTTCTGAGTCTAACGTGTGCAGAATTAAAGCTTCTTAAACAGATGTATTCCTACGCACAGGCTGTGTTAACACTGGTGCATTAAAGAGGCCGGCGCTGTTATCAGACCATGTGACCTAGTTATCACAGCCTGCGCCACATATGCAAACACAGCTCGGTGCATTGTGGGGAATTCTTGAGGTCATTTACACCTTCGATATGGGCCCGTATCTACAATCTGCCATCAGCCAATCAGGCTTTAAAGTGTGCGCAGGTGTGTCAGACAAGAAGCTGCAGGTAGAAGCTGCTCTGCTGTGTTGCAACTGAGAGTCCGGACGAGTCAGAACAGACTGGAAGGTGCGGCTCACTGAGGCCCTCTGGACACATGAACCCACTGATAACACATCAGCAGCATTCAGTTGGTTTTCATCCACCAGTGGAAATTAGGGCTGTAACTAACCATTATTTTTATTATCGATTTATCTGTCGTTCATTTCCTTGATTAATAAGTTGTTGTTTAAAATGTCAGAAAATATAGATCACTATTTCCCAAAGTGTCTGCAACCTAAAGAGTTTTAGTTTACTGTCATAGAGGACTAAAGAAACAAGAAAATTTTGACATTTTATCTTAAAAAATGAGTCAAAGCGATTGATAGATTATCCAGATAGTTGACCTAATAGCTGACTAATCGATTAATTGACAAATTGTTCAGCTCTGGTGGTAATTCTGTGATATTTTCTTCCCATACATTATTATGAAATACTGTCAGTGAGTATTGCTGTTAGAGTCAGACTGATACTGGATTTTGGCGGCGATGTTAATACTCGAGTGTAAAACAAAACAATAAAAGATGTAGTTTGATGGTGTTGTGATGTAGCGTGGGATGAAGGGATTATCATTGTTAAACCACCACCGCCTATCTGATGTGACTCACAGACGAGGTCAATTTAAGTTTTACTCTATAATGTTCACTGACGTTTGCCGTCGTCCTTCCTCACTGCCTGCAGTGTTTACCTAGAAGTTAGAGCAACAAGAAGCTAGGCTAACACAGTGTTACCTGAATAAAATGATGGATTTCTCTGGATTTAACCATTGTTGGAAACATTTTGGATACTGGAAGTACACAACTCAATAAAATATATAACGTAGGACCAACGTTTTTAGTCATTTTAAAGCAGAACTGTTGCACATTATTCGTTTAAGAGGGGCTGTTCTTGTGCCTGTGATGATACCGACCTTTCTGTGACTCGTGCCTCTCCGTTTTGCCCTGGTACTCAAAGCCCACAGCGCTCTTGTCCACCTTGTCGGTCTCAACGCCAAACTTTCCGCCAAAGCCCTTGGCATAATCTGCCAGAGGAGGGGGGGATGGGGCAGAAAGAGCCAAAGTTAAGACAGGAAAAAGTGGAGCTGAGTTAACCCTCGAAATATTCTTTCACCCTCAATACAACAGTAGATTTAAAATGAATGAATGTATTTGGATCCCCTGCAGTTTATGTGTGAGTGTACATTTTACATATAACGTGAAGTAAAATATCAACAAAGCACTATGAGAGTATTTCAGAGAAGAAAAACCCAGAACTGGAAGAACTGTCTAAAAAGAAAAAACTATACCACATTAGAATATCCCCCTCCCCCCACCCGTCCCCAGAAAACTGGCTTGGTCAGGCCCAACCACAGACCAGAAGGCGCTGGCGAGTCTGTGCCAATCACCTGAAATCTGAGAGGAGGAGGGAGCAGGGACACATTAAAGGAGACAGCATTTCAGAAAGGAAATGGCCACCCACGTCCAAAAAGACTCCCTTAAAGTCTAAACTTACACTATAATAATGTGATATTTGACACCGGGGGTAAACAAACATCACATCACACATGCAACTAAACAAAGCCATTGTTTGCAACCTTACATAAGCAGGCAAAGGCTGAGGAATGAAGGAAGAGGAAGAAATATTGTGATTTGTCAGGACCTGCAGGGAGCTGCGCTCACTGAGTCAGGCCGGGTTGTGTGTGTGTGTTAGTGTGTGCCCATTAGCCACATTTTCTCCGTATCTCTCCGGGGTTAATGGGAAATGCCGCACGGCAGGAAATCCAGACAAACCTTTCTGGGACTCGTGTTTCTCGGTTTTGCCCTGGTAATCGAAGCCCATTGCGCTCTCGTCGACACGATCTGCCTGCACTCCGTATCGCCCCCCAAACCCAGTGGTGTAGTCTACACAGCAAAGCAGGGGGGGGCAAGGGTCAAAGGGTAAAGCAGCATGGTAGCAGTGGTCACGAAGCAGCCCAATTCCAAATTCCCCATCAACATTTACTGGCAGTAGAATCAAAAGCCTTCAGACACATTCACTGCTGTCAGTATCACACAATAAGGTCACACTGCTTTTAAATCGACTTCTTTAAAAGAGATAAACATAGACTGTGTGTTGTCCTGCTTGTGGTGCATAAACACAGATATGTGCACTGTTGTTACAGAGTAGTATGTAGCAGTTACACTACTGAGGATCCATTGGAATTGGGCGTATGTTCAGCTCTCTGTGCAGGGTACTCTGGAGGAGATGAAGGCAACACAAAGGTGATGACAGTATGGGGTCATGAGAATGCAACTTCAAAATACTACAAGCTGAGGAGCCAGAGTTGACTGTTCATACTGTATACAGTGCAGTGTGTAAGGATTATAAGCAGTTGTGTTCTGGCTAATGAGGTTAAATTGCTGGATGTGTTTATTTCTTTATAGGCTTGATTTTAAGGGGTGCTTACAGAGTTTAAAATATACACAGTAGTTGTGTAATAGAACAATGGAACATCGTCAGGACACAGACCACAAAAGACACCTATTAAGTCTGTATAATTGTTAAAAGTAATCCAAAAAGTACATAACTATAGAAAAGATGTTTTCTACAAAAAGTTCCCTAAAAGGAAATAACTGGCCTCAAAATTACACAAACTTCCTGCAGTTACTGAGCGTCTCAGATGTTATCCAACTGTCTCAGAAAGTATAAATCATCCCGATAAAACTCCCATGTCCCTTAAACGAAGCGGTAACAGCTCAGCTTTGACCACCATAAAATATGTCACTTAAGCAGGGTAGTCAGTTTACATAACTCCATTTACATCCTCTCCAAGGGGCAAAAGGGGCAACCATTTTACTCTGTTTACCCAGTAAGGGTGTTAAATACCTCTACAGCTGAGGGTAACAACTCGAACCAGTTTCAGTTCCAACGTGCTGGAGCAGAGCCACGAAAAGGACACCTAACACCGTCATAATGCTTACAGACTGCACTGTAACGTATTATATGCCAGGAAAACAAACACAACACAACAGCTTATCCAGCCGACACCATGAACACGTGTTTAAACACGGTGCGTGTGCAGTCGGATCCTGGCACAGCAGAGATCAAGCAGCTTCTGATCGGCACAACAGGAGCACGGGGGGTGCAGCTGGCCACCAGCCAGGTGCTCATCAAGCTGTTTGTGCCTGGAAAATGTGTCTCCTGTAGGCAATCTGCAAAGCTTACGCTGTTAATAAAACCTAACTGACTGATAAAAGGGGTAAAGATAGACGAGAGTTTATCACACAGAGAGGTCTGCTAAACTACACTGCAGGTGATCTGAAGCACACGTACAAAAAGACAACCAGGTGGGCGATTACCTCTCTGCGAAGCGTGTTTCTCCGTCTTCCCAGCATACTCGAACCCAACAGCTGACTGGAAGGAGAGGAGGAAGCAACACTGTTATTCTACCGACTGCAGCATCTTTTATCCCTATCACAGTCATAATACACTACAGCCATTATGAACCTCTCCAGGAGCTGACTCAGCACAGCTGTGTCACTTCCTTCGCAAGGAGCTTGACATTTTACACAAAAACCAAGGAGATGCAGTTAAATGGTGGAGAGCCACAGGAAATACCTGGTCGACGCGGTCAGCCTGCACTCCAAACTTCCCTCCAAAGCCCTTGGAGGTGTCCGTCTGGGAACAGTGCTTGGACAACTTGCTCTGGTAGTCGTGACCCACAGCAGACTGTCAAGAAACACACAAAAACAGCACAACTTCACGACGCAGAAAGGGCAATAAGCGAACATCTGACGGGGGAGGGGGTCATGAAAAGAGCAGCACAGCTGGAAACACAGCCAGAGGTTTGAAGTGCTGACATCTGACTCATCAGTGTGGTGTAAACAGTGCTCGGTCATCACATTCACGCTGCGATGGGCACACAGGCCCGCAGAGAGAAAGGTGTGGACGGACGCGGCTGCTTGCCAGGAAAGATTATCGAGTGTGAAACGGCCACGACTGAATCAGCCTGTTCACACAAACATCGCAGAAAACGCTGCAGAGCGCTCGGAGGTCCTTTAGATGCAGATTTGTGAAAAGAGCCCTCTTTGAAACCCGGATTTAGCAAGTTGGTTTATATTTAGCTTCAGCTGCAGGACGGCCACAGCGACAGTAACTCTGGTTAGAAGAGTCATCTGTGTGCTGGTGGCACCGATTCAACTGTGCTGATGAATTACTAGACTCATCATCGATCCAGAGATCAAGTAACAGCCAACAATGAGGCTTTCAGTCGAATACAACTGGAGCGAGAGATTAATGTTTGACCACATGTTCGTTATGCATCCTTACACCAAAGCTGCCGGACAATTACAGCAGAACATGACGGCTTACTCCGATTATGAAGCTCAGGCACTTTGTCGTATCCATGTGTCTCGTTCAGAGCAGTTGTTTTGAAACTGGGTGAATTTACGCCCTTGAACACGAAACAACCGGGCTGAGAACACTTGAAAAGGGTCTCGGTCTGATCCAAGCCGAGTCTGGAGCGGACCTTTGTGGTGTGAAAGCAATCGAACCAACCACAGGATTTTACAATTAGCACAATGTCAAAAGCTAAACTGCTAATAAATGAATGAGCCGACAGTAAAATCTGTTCAGGAAGCGATCCTCTCGTTAAAAAATACAGTGTCGTCTGGCAGTAACCTGGATTTCCCTGTCTGGGTCTGATCATCGAACTGTAGGACTTGATAAAAACCTGTAACCTTGGACGAGATGAACAGAGCGTTACTGTGTGCAGTATTCAAAGACACCTTTAATGAGTGTTTAATGTGAGCTTGGAAACGGCCCACTTTGTAGCTGGGAGCAGATCTCGTGGTCCCTCCTACCTTGTCCATGCGGTCCTGCTGCACTCCAAATTTCCCTCCGTATCCATGCGAGGCTTTGGGCATGGTCTCCAGCTCCTTCTGCTTCAGGCTGGTGTGCTCCGTGGACACCGTCTCACGCAGCCGGTGGATGCTACGCCAAGGAAGCACACAGTTAGACACACGCTGCTTTCAATAAAGACTCACACCAAAGGGGAACATTATCCTCTTCCTCACTCTATGTGCTCCTGATGTCCCGAGCCCGACACCGTCTTGGCCCCCCAGCGCTGCTCCTTCTCCGACACGTCATTCTAGAAAACGGAGAGAAAGAAATGGCGATGAGGAGAGTGAAGGATGAAGCTGATAAGTGGAGAGAGGAGAAGAAGCGTGAGCAGGTACCTCAAAGTCGGGGTCAGTCTCCCAGTCGTCCCCTTCGTCATTCACAGCCACGCTGACCGACTGTCCTGCTGCTGCCTTCCACATCGTTAGTGCTCGCTGAAAAACAAGAAGAGTTAGAGGAACCAGACTCACGTCTTTAACAGACAGGACGACATGGACAGGCGGAACGATCACCTTACTTTAATGGATTACTTGTTTGGTCCATAAAAAGTCATTAAGTAGTGGAAACTGTTGATCAGTGTTTCCCCTCAAATGTCTTCAGTCCAGAAATATTCAGTTGACGGTCACAGAGGACTCAGAAGAGCAGAAAATATTCTTCTTTAAAGATTATCTATTAGTTTAACCGTTGACAACCACTGGATGAATCAGTGCAGCTGCAGTAACCCTTCTCTCCCTGATCAATGTCTAGCAGCTCCTGTCTGCCACATCCCCAAGCAGGGAGCTCAAACTGCCGGCCCGGGGACCCTCTCCAGCCCTCCACCCCCCCTCCCCCGGGCCCAAGTTATAATGTCAAAGATATGATATCATCTGGCCTGCAGGGCTGGTTCTTCCTCGAGCGGCTGCTGATCAGTTTTAACTACTCTCTGAAAGCTTTCTGAAAATCCACAAAGATGATATCAAATATATCAGAACTGCTGTTTGATGTTAATCGATCAGATATAATGAATCATTTATAGACCCTCAAAGTAAAGAGTGTTTTAGATACTTACAGCTAAAGCTCTGGATTTAAACCACACAAGGAATAAAGATAAATAAACAACATTACAACCAATGAAAATGATCTGAGCTGATGACACTGTAATCCAGATTCATCCAGTAATCCAGTGTGTAAAGTCCTTTATGCACATTACATCCATCAGTGCTTATCTATTTCATTTCATTTACAGATATGGAAATAAATGATATTATTTAAATAGTGAAGAGACATTGTCTGAGGAGAACATCCATTCACTGAGGTATGGACGTTTATAAAGCCAAAACAGAGCAAACGAATAACAATCATTTATTGTGAAATCAAAAAGGATGGAGAGACTTTACGTTCTATGAAAGCCACAGTTTGTGTGTGAGTTTATCTGTACCTGCTCACAGCAGCTCAGCTTACTCACCTCTTTCTAATACAAATGATCAGTTTATTGACAGAAATCCACATTGTGCATCATTAGACTGTTCTAACGTTCCTCCTGACAGCGTCCTATAATATGTGTTACTCTAGAAGCTTTAAATAAAGGCGTTAATGCAGTTAGTGATGGAATAAAGTGTGAATATCGCTCTGTGTGGCTGTTTGAACATTAATGTGGACGCTTCTGGGTTCCTAATGCTGACTCAGCATCAGGAGGACCACAGAGACCTCCTCCCAGACCCAGGAGGAGCCACAGAGACTGCTCTCCAGGGACCAGGAGGACCACAGAACGACTCTCCTCAGACCCACAGGGAGGGGCAAAGCGGGGCAGCTCCAGCGACCTGAGCCAGGGGGTAGCCTTCCTGCAACACCCAACACCGCACCGTAGCAGCGTGGCGTGCCAGGGCCGTAGGGAGGAAGAGCGGGTTCGTCAGGTGGAGGAAGAGGGGTCAGGGTGGAGAAGAGGGGCTCTCAGGTTGGAGGAAGAGGGGCCTGAGGTGGAGGAGGAGTGGGCCCCTCAGGTTGGCAGGAAGAGGGGGCCTCCCAGGTTGGAGGAAGGAGGGGGCCCCTCAGGTGAGGAAGAGCGGGGCCCGTCAGGTGGAGGAGGAGGGCCACTCCAGGTGGAGGAGGAGGGCCTCCAGGTGGAGAAAGAGGGGCCGCTCAGGCTGGAGGAGGCGGAGAAAAGAATCCCTGCGAACAGACGGCTTCCATGACTGGCAGTGAGAGCCAGGCGTGAGGGACACATTGATGCAAGGGTCTGCAGTGGAAACAAACCACACCCAAAACTCCATCCGCCGGGACGACAGAACAATGACTTCCAACAAGGGCCAGAGCAGTCAGCAGTAGGCCGGATGAAATGCACGAACCGAGAACCCCAGGAACCACGAACTAGAGTCCTGTCTGTCCTGTGTCTGTCCTGTCTGCCCCTGTCCTGTCCTGTTCCCTGTACTGCCTGCTCCTGTCTGTCTGATCTGTGTCTGTCTGCTGCCTGTCGCATCTGTCTGTGTCTGTCTGCATCCTGCCTGGTCCTCTCCTGTCATGCCTGCCTGTCTGTCTGTCCTGATCTGTCTGTCCTGTCTGTTCTGTCTGTCTGTCTTGTCCTGCCCTGGTCTGTCTGCCCGTCCTGTCTGTCTGCCTGCCTGCCTGCCTGCCTGGCCTGCCTGCCTGCCCTGTCTGTCCTGTCCTGACGGCGCCGCGGGGCTGTCTGTCCTTCTGTCCTGTCTGCCTGCCTGCCCTTGCTTGTCCTGTCTGCCTGTCTGTCTGTCCTCCTGTCTGTGGGTAATTTCCGGTTCCAGTTTTCCAAGTTAGCCATTAAAGGCTAGCTGGCTAATAGGCAGCCTTCCAGTGAATGCGTTTGAACTTTGAGTCCGGAGACACTTTTTTAACCCGTTTTAACGCGGTTTTAACCGGCCGTTTTAACGCCTTTTAATGAGCCTCACCCCGTGTTAGACTTGTTAGGTTCCAGGTTAAAGCTCCCGACCACAGTCTCAAGCTCCCCCGGCTTGGCAGAAAACATGGCGCGTTTCAGGTTTGCACCGTTTCACCCCGATCTGAAGAAATGTCTCCAACTCGCGGCTCTAAACTCTCCGGCTCTCCCGTATCCAGCGCTGCGTCCACGACTGGGCCAGGCTTCCTGGGACTATTTCAATTTTATTATACTTTTTTATCCTATCTTATTATCTATTCTTATCTAATCTAAGTCCTATTCTATCCATCTATCTACTATCTATCACTATTATCTATTTTGATTTTCCTATTATTTTTATTTGGATATTCCTAGCTTTTTTATTTATCTATTTTCAAATTTATCTATTTCTTTATTTATCTATTTATTTATATTCTATCTATTTATCTTATTTTTAATTTACTCTATTTATTTATTATTTATCCTATGTGTTTATTTAATCTAATTTATTTATTTTTATCTATCTATCTATCTATCTATCTATCTATCTATCTATCTATTAATTTATCTATTTTTATTTATCTATTTATTTATATTTATCTACTTATCTATTTTTATGTATCTATTTATTTTTATTTATCTTTCTATTAATTAATACATTTTTATTTGTCTATTTATTTTTATTTATCTATTTATTTATCTATCTATTAATTAATTAATTTATTTTTATTTGTCTATTTATTTATTTTTATTTATTTATTTTTGGTAAATTTGATGCAGTGGCTCCAAAACCTTTATATGGAAGCTAATTTCCACCAATGTGACGAGGGGAAAAAAGGATTGTGTTTGCAAGTATAAGTACAAATATTGACTTTGTGATACTAAGTCAATATTAATAAAGTTGCTCATTGTAGTGACAGAATCCTTTTTTTCCAGTCACATTGGCAGAAATGAGCCTCCACAGTTCCCAACCTTGATGGGAAAAAGGATTTTGTTAATAATTCTAATTATTTTATAATTGACTTTGAGATATTAAGTCAAAATATTGAGTGATTTTGTTAATATTTTGAGAAACTTTCTCATTATAAAGACTTTTTTTTCTGTCACACTGGCGGAAACGGGCTTCCATATATTTAAGAGGTGTAAGAACACTTAATAAAATACACACAGTAGGCCTATATCTCAATATTTAGGACATTTTTGTGAAGAAAACTAAATGAAATAGTTATTTTAGTTTTGTTCATTTAGATTATTATTTAAGATTCACAGATCCTTTAATCTCTGATAAACAGCCTCGTCCTGCATTAGAAAAGTTAAAACAACCAAAGAGCTGATAGAACAATGACAAGGAAACAAGAAGTCAAAAAAGCAGTCTATTAAAGTCTGTATGATTGTTAAAAAAACATTTAAAATACCTAATACAGAGAATTGTATAAAAGTTCCTAAAATATCAGGAAAATATTTACAGAAAATAATCTGCTGAACATTAATCCAAATCACTAATTTTACTGCAGTTATTGTGTTCAATATTTGGGTTTATTGTAGTTTATCAGTTGTTCTTTACTGTTATTGTTATTCATTGAAAATAATATGAATTATAAATACGTCAAATAAATATATCACTAATGTCTAAATATGTCAGGAAGGAAAAAGGTTGGGAACCTCTGATTCAATGTAAAATGTAAATTTGATGGTAAACTCCTAATTTCTCCTACATACACTATATATTATTTATTATAGAATATTATATATTTATATTATATTTTATATGTATTTTCATGCTAAATTGATTAAAATCATACCACAACAAAAACATAGTCAACAAATAATCTGTTGCTTGTTTTTTTCTTTTTTCTTACGAACAGGCAACAAGTATTATTTAGAGTAGTAGGATGATTTTAGGATGAGTTTACAGCTCCCCTCCACTCTTAACACAAAGGTCTAAAAAGGGCAAAAAAAAATTGCAGGAATTTTGATTTAGATTATTATTTAATGATGTTCAAATGAAGTTTCCATGTTGAAAAACGTAGAAATAGTTTAGTTTTTTCTGCATTCAGACCCAATAAAACTCGAACACCTCCGAGCTACTTTATAATACTTTATATAGGTTGTGTAATTACAGTGGGGAACGTTCCTGGAAAGAACAATGCTATTTGGTTCCAATTAACGGGAGTATAGTTAAGTATAAATTTAAGTATAGCTCCATTTAAATTTGTGCAATTATTTTCTTACTCATTTGTAAGGAACTCATCTTTATTCTTTCTACTATAAAGTTTATATTATAAATTATATTTTTGATTTTACATTTTTGTTCAGTCTTTTAGTCAGATCACAGCAGGTCGGCTGCGTACTGACTAAAATATGCTGAAATACTGTAAATTACACTAACAATTAACTTTTCATTATTTGAAGCCTTACGTCTCAATTTTACCTACAACAGACCTTTTTCACAGCAGCCACTTTGACATGAAAAAGTAGGGTAAATACAGGTGTAACCAACCATGCTGCTCCATTCAGTGTAGCAGAGCCTTTCCTGTGACACAACAGCCGCACACTGACTCCCAATGGAATCAAACCTTCATTAGTATCATTGGTAACACCTGTATTTACCCTACTATTGGCTGTAAAAATGGCTGCTGTGAAAAACATCTATTAATACCAAATCACACAGTATTTTCCAGGAAACTAAATTAATTACAAACCTGTAAATTAAAGCGTTTAGTTCCAACAGCATCTGAACACAGAGGCAGATGAGGTCAGATGCTGCCTATCGCTGTATTTTCATATGACTTTGATATGGCTGATATGATCAAATACATTCAGTCTCACTCAATAAAGACACTGTCCTTTCTCTGTTCTCCGGCTGCCAACAAGAAACCAAACACAGGACAGGAAACAGGAAGAGCTTCTGGCAAAGACAAGCTTTAGTCTCTTTATCTGCAGTGGAAAATAAGTTTCAGTATTTTATTGAAAGTAAGCAATAAATAATATTGTGATAAAAATAGTTTATAAGTACTCAGACTGTACATCATTGTTACAAGATCAGAAGATTCAATGGGAAGAGCAGGAATAGAACAGCAACATGATTTGCATTGTGCATAAAAGACTAAATCACAAACAGAAAAAAAAAAAAAAAGCATTTCTACTTTAACCTTGAACTACATGAAGGGTGAAAGAAAAACTCTTCGGTTCCTTCTCGTTCGCCGTGAAAACTAACGGAGGAACCTGTGTTTGGGAGCATAGACAGGACAAACAGACGCGAGGAGCTTTGCTACATTCATAGGAGCACACTGGGGCTTCGGCTATGAAAGTACGACTGACGAAACACAACGTGGATGAGTAATAATAAATAAGAACAGACGACAGAGAGGAGTTAAGAAACAATAAGGCTCGATATGAAATCTTCGTACAAAGTGTTTTTTTTTTTTTTTTTTTTTTTTTTTTTTTAAAAGGTTTGTGGGTGGATCTCGCCGCCTTGAGGGTTATCTAGTCACAGCGGGGATCGACTGAGGCCTCAGTGAAGTTGGTCCATCGAAGGAGTCGCCACACTTCCGACTCGTCCGTACGTTTCAAGTCCTCCCGTACAGGTGAGCCTGCGTGTGTGTGTTTCTCCAAGAGGTGAGGGAGGTTTGTTTCCGTTAAAGGGGCGAGCTGGGTGTGGAGGGGCGGGGATAAGTGGAGAAGTTTCTGCATGCAAGGTCGACTGGAGAGAACCTCGAATTCTGTTTTCACTTGCATCCGAAAGAAGCCCTCGGTTTTTGTTTTCGCTACTGTTATATGGCTTTAATTCTTAAAATTCAAGAGTTTCATTTTGGTTTCGCAGATACGGAAAAGAAAGAAGAGAAAAGGAAAATATACTGTGTGTTTCACATGATATCTGTCGTCACCATCACCAGGCTTGCCAGCAGTTATTTCAACGGTGATGGTGGCTCACAGTGTTTGAGCAGTTTGTGAAACAGTCTGACAACTCCAGCAATTTGTCTGATATTCACACATCCGTTGACCTAAGAGCTGCATTTACACAAAATCACAGGTAATAAGCTACAAAAATTACAACAGTTAAAAAGGGCAAAGGATATGAATTAAGTTATATCAGATATCAAAGTCACTTAAGCATAAATTCAATGATTAGAATTCAAATCAAAGAGGAGAAAGAAAAAAAAAACATACATCTGGTCAATAGAATCAGGATTATAAAAAAGATTAGATAAAATGTCTGTTGGTAGAAATATACAAACTCCAGACAATTGAAACATTCAGTTACATACATCTGAGAGCTGAGCTTAATACGGGCACAGTGGAGAAATGTTTCTTTTTTAAAAAGTGGGTTGATTAAGGGGATAGAGGCAAAAAAAGGGATTACATAGTAATTCTAAAATCAATTAAAATGTCCCATTGGTTTACATAAATATAACAACAAATGCAGATAAATCTAGAAAGTGTCCTCTAGGGATACTGAGATTGGTGAGTAAGGTCTTTCTCTGTGACCACGACAAAAAACAAAAACGTCTTTTTAGTGTCCTTGCGAGTCATTTCAGTTCATCATCCTGGTCTTGAACGCGGGGAACTCCCCTTCGTCCTCTGACCAGCGGTTACCTATAGAAATAATGAGGATAAACTGAGAAGGGGGAAGAGAGAGATGAACGGACACGAGAGGAGAAGCAGGACAGAAGCCGGGGATGGGTGGAGGGGGGGAGAAACAGAGAGAAAGAGAGGAGAGGCGTACAACGTGCGTCATTAGAGCCAAGAAGTGCAGTACGAGACAGCTGCTTTCTGCTGGAGACGAGGAGCGGCTGGTGCAGTGAGGTGGTAGCCATACTGTGTGCGCTTACCGTTGTATGTTAACAAGAGTAGGTCCTGACTGTGGCAGTGTCCAGCCTCTGTATAGACTGACTTCCTGTGTTTCCATGTTGGCAAAATCACATGCAAAGACGTGCCATTAGTCACAGCATAATACAACAAACAGCAAAGCAGCAAAGCCATTCAAGAAGATCTGAGAGTACACGGGGAATGTGGGCTGCTTCGAGCCCGTCAGAGCAGCAATGAAAGAGCACATCGCACACCAACAACGTGCACACACTCAGGCACTCCCCTCTGCTTACCGTCCATCGGGCTCCTCTTTGGCTGCGTGGAGGGAGACGCCGCGCCGCTACTGGTCACTCGGAAGTTGGCAGGCAGGGTGTCGGACGCACCCAAGGACATCCCCCTCATGTCTTTGGGCCTGAACTTCTTCCTCCATGAGGGAGCTCGGCGGAAGTTCTTATCGTCATCCTGGAGGAGGGTGGAGAGATGGAGAGATTTGTGTGATGGAGAGCAGGCTGGTGTTACTGTGTTGGAAGCTGTGTTATGTGTCTGTGCGCGTCACCTCTTCCATTCTCCTTTCTGTGCCGATGGCCAGCAGACCGCTGTACTCACGCTCAAGAGTCGCTCTGGCCTGGAAAGAGAGGAGGAAAGCACAGACTGAACTCAGTGACTGATTTCAAAGCACCCACTGAACTCCACATTAGTACAAGGAACCGACTCCTTCTCATGAGATAACATCACCCCAGACTTTCAATGGCCACGTCAGCAACCGTACCTTCCACTATTTAGCTTTGATGCTAACAATGACCTAACTGCACTCACGTCTCTTATCACATCCTGTCTTACACCAGGGACACAGAGGAGATGGACGCGCCCTGAAGCACCGCCCACTTCCTCTTGGCCCCAATGTTAACCAATTGGGCTGTCCACACAGTGCACGCTGTGGATCAAAGCTTAGCGATTGGCTCGCAATCTGCAGCGATCCTTTAATCGTTTATTCTATTCTAAAACTACACAAACAATATATTGAATGATCTGATTCTGATAAACGATAAAACAACAACACTGACAACACTTCTTATCTATTATATTTAATGGAACAGAATAATTGCTGTCTGTCCTGTATAAATGTATACGGTCACTGTTTATTTTACCATCTGTTCATATTAACTTGATGAACTTACAGTGCAAGGGATCAACAGAAGACTTATCTAGCTATGAATGACTACTGAACACCCAGGAGACAACGATTTTATTTTAAACATTAAAAAGATTTTTATTTTACTGAAACACCAGATTATATTTGAAAATCAAGCATTTTTCAAGGAGTATATTCAAATTCACTGAATCACTTTGTTCCCTGTTACATGTGACCTTTGCCCGTCCCTCACATGATGTTCCAGTAAGCGGGTGAAAGCGCTGTGTGTACCTGTGTGTTCTGCGTGGGGATCTGCAGCAGCAGGGCCAGGGCGTTGTGATCGAAGGTCTCGTCCATGGCGAGCAGCGCTCCGTGGACTCCGCTCTCATAAAGGTTTCCACTGTACTCTTTGAGCCCGATGGACTGAACCCAGCTGACCACACGCTCATTACTCCACACCATCACTTCTGTAGAGCAGAGACAGAAATCCGGCTTGAACCAGAGTGATTGCTGGAAGGACTAACAAAGTTGGTTTTGTTGAGTTTTATTTTGTTCCTGTCCCATTGTTTTGGTCTGAGATTCTCTAGTGCGACATCCAGTGGTGAGTGACTTTCATAAATATAACCTTATATAATATATAATAACTTAACAGAGTGGGCATGTCTTACTGAATCTAGTGACGCTCATAGATCAGCAGGATGTTTGTTACCTTGAAGCTCCATTTGAGAATCTTCCCTTCTCCTCTCCAGCTCCTTCCGGTCATAGTTGAGCCTCCTCAGACACATCACCCCACACTGAAAACTGTTCCTATTGCACACACACACAAAGACAGTTGTTTATTTAGCTCCTCATTAGCTGTGACCTTGTTACATTCAAGTACAATCTGTCTTTCACATTAGTGAATATGTTGAATAGTTGTTGGACAAGAATGGAGCTCTATAGCTCAAAGGAATACATTGTAGTGAATAATAACAGATAATACTGCTGTGTTTTACCTGTGGAAGCTATCCACCATTTTGAGCTGTCCCCTAAGGTCCTTCTTGGTGAGGTGATCGAGCATGCGGGCGTCCACCAGGGACTCCATGAAGTAGGAGCGGTACTGCGGCAAACCCAGGCTGGGCAGCCACTCGTTACCGATCCACTCGTGGTTCATGTCTCCATACGCCAGAGTCTACGGTCAGAGAGGAGATGGCTTAACAAGTGATTGAGAGAGTGTTGAAAAGATGGAAAGTGCTACTTTTCCTTTCACCTCTGTCATTTTTCATACAGGAGCCTCTAACATTTGTTTTTTCATAAATACAGTTAACTTGCTCACTAATTTACAACTATATTTATTTATTTGAATTCTTTTATCTCAGTTTCATCTCTTTTTACTGTTTCGTTTCTAGATTTGAACTGTGCTGAGTTGTGCAGTTTTATCTTTGAGCTGTTAACTATTTGTACAGCCCCATTGAATTTTTATGTATGAAACGCGCTTTATAAATGAACTGACGTAAAATATCGTATTTTCAGTCACACATCACTCAGTCTTTGTTTCCAGTTGTTTCCAGTTTACATGTCGGATGTGTCCTGATAGAACTGTTGATTCATGGTTTTAAAAGGCTGCAAAGATTGTTCAGTTAAGTCTATATGTAGACAGTTTTAGCATCAACTGTTCATATACAACAAATATTAGAGCAAGTATGGTATTTTATCTGCTGCAACTGCTTCATTACGACAATCAATTTCTAATTAAATAATCTCTTCAATTACATCAACATCAAAAACATTCCTTAGTTTTTAGTTTTTTTTATTTGTAGAATCTCAGGGTGCTTAAAAATCTAAATGTTTAAGAATCACTCAAATGATTTGATAAAAGGAAATATACATGTCTTACTGTAGATAGACTGTAGTCAAATGAGCCTACAATGTTTATTTAACATTTAATCAATTCAAGTGTTTTTGCTGAATGAGCTACATCTTTATTAACCCTATCTGGGGTTTTGCACAGGAAACCTGACCGGCTGCACTGTAACCACAAAGCGTCTAAAAACATCCTCCCTGCACTTCAGCCAGACAACCACTAGATGAAACCACTGAGTTGCTTTTAAAAAGTCAAGCAACAGTGAGCTACGGTGTGAGCGGTGCACCAAAATACATCATACTGAATAAAAAGAAACACACGCCCAAGAAATACAGCCTCTACTTGTTTTTAATTTAGTCTCTGGCCACTTGTGTAGATTGTATGGAGCAGAGGATCTTCTTATAAGATCTCTCCAGTTCCCATCTAAAGTGCATGACATTGCCTGATGGGGTTAATTGTTAAAAATAAGTATTTTTTTCGAATATTTGTTTAATTTCTATTATTTTACAGTTTCTAGGGGTTCAACTACAATGGAAAGGCTTTCCTTAGTTATTTATGTAAATGGTGTATCATTTGCATGAACCTTTCTCTCCTGTACTTCACCTTAACTGCTGTTCATAAGGTCCTTAAAAGCATAAAACATTATCTTCTGGGTTGTTTCCTGCAGTAACAACCACAGTAGTATTCAGTGTTTGAATCCAATTTCAAGTGTCTCTGCTGTAGAAATGAACGAGACTTTAGGGGTAAAACTGCCCAATTTGAATGAATCCAAACATGCTGCTTGTGAAGACACTCTTAGTGAAAAGTGATCTTGAAATAAACAAAGAAATATGTGATATCTCCTTTATGAGATACTTAAAAAGAACAAACACTGACTAAACGATAGTGTTAGTGTGAATTCAGGCGGTGAGCATAGGTGGATTTTCTGGGGAATTTGTGCAAACCTGTGCCCAGCTACCCTCGTCATCCTCCTGGTGTTAGCATGGTTAGAGTGAGCATGGTGAGAAGAACAGAAAGGCGAGGGGTTAGTGAGGCAGCAGTGCTGGGTTAGAGCAGCTCAACGTGGAAAATATCATTCAAAGTAAAACAACAAAAAGCAAGACAAACAGGAAATAAAAATGGTGACAAAACAATAACAAATAGGGATTAAATCCTCTATTATAGGTTAAAGCTATCCCATAACAATAGATCTCATAATATAAGACATTTTATGAAAGTAGAAATAAGAAACTGTATCTAGGTTAAAAATCCAGTATTATAATAAATCAGCCCGGCTCACTGACTGGCCAAAGCGGTGCAAAACAATGATAGATATTAAAGCAAGAAGCTACCTCGATATGAACAGTAAGGTAGAATTGTCTCACTGTATATACTTCTATCAACCCAACCCTGATACACTGCACTGTTACAGAAACAGCTACATTAAAACAGAACAGCTAAAGGAAGATTGATTTTTAGATACCTTGTTCTGGCTGACTCAACCACTCACTCAAAATAAAAACTGCTGTAAACCAAGCAGCAGGTGTCCTTTCTGAGCAACAATACAACACACAAACACACACAAAACAAAACTAACTACAGTATTTCTAAAGGTCTAAAGGAAGACACGAGAAAGCTTCTAATACCAACAAGGAGGAAAGACTAATTACAAACTAGCAGAAAGAATTAGGCCTCGTTTCAAGTTGCCTTGTGAGGCAGCCAGACGAATACTGGACTGATCAACCACACTGAAGTGTCAAATATTAATATAAGCATGCAATGAGCGAGGTCTGGCTGGCCTGACGGCAACTTGGAACGAGCCTCGACAGTCACCACAGAAGCGAGAAGCCACCATCGGCCAGCCAATCAGGGTAGACTAACCGTGGGAGGTGTGGCTGCCAAACTTTCCATTTCTTCATGTGTGACCCAAACGTTTCCTGTGGTCTGATCATTTCACACCCCACAATCACAAGTGAGAGAAGTGTGCAAAGAGGGCAGGAGTGGTGAAGGATAGAAAGAGAGCAAGATGGAGAGAAGATCAAGAAAAGTTTTTTCATTTATTGTTATCACTGTTAGCAAAAGAATCGAGCTCAAATGAAAACCAGTCTGATCCCATCATTAGTACATGTTAAGTACATAAGTAGTTAAAATGTTAATGCAGTAAAGTGTCATGCTCAATCAGATGTGTAGACCGAGAGCTAAAAGGAATCCTCAAGACTTTGGATGAGTGTCTCAATATCATTTGTATGAAGGTGACCAAGAGCTGCTGTATGCTGTACTGTATGTGTGTTTCTATCATCACATGAACCCGATGAACAAGTACCGTTCGTGAGGTGGGCGGGGCAGACGGGCTGGTGAGCGACATGATTTCCTGGATGGCCAGGCGAAGCTTCAAGCGATGCAACGGGTTGCTGATACCAATCTCCCTTTGGATCTCTGTGTCCGACAGCGCCGACATGATGGCTCCACTCTTCACATTGGCACGGCATGCAGCCACGTACCAGGCCGGCATGCCCACCCACAGCTGGCCAGACGGGGCAGATGAGAGACAGTGCCATTAGTTAACCTGGAGGAATGCTAATAGACATGTTACTGGTTTGAATGGTTTCATTTATTTAATCTGCGACCATGATCACATGGTAAGGAGCATAAGGAGAACATAAAGTAACACAATGGGTCAGTGCACTTTGCAGCCAACAGACTTTCGTTTGTAAACAAAAAAAAATAAATGGGGGAAAAAAAATGAAAAAATAGACTTTACACTGACACCGCTGCTCTGAAGTGTTATACCAGTTTATATTCTACCCATAGTCGAGTTTCAAACAAAATACACACCTACAGTAGGTCTATGTAGGCTGAATCAGGGGCTAGAATACATTCAAAAATGTCTACGAAAACACAGATTATTTCCAGGATATATTAGTTTTAATCAATTTCCAGGTGTTTTCATGACTGGAAAACTAGTTTCTAAATTTCCAGGTTTTCCAGGATGCTTTCAATGTGTTTCATTCAAACAAAATACGATACTTGTCTATAAAACGATCCCTTGGTTTCTATCCAGCCCTTTATATCTTCCAGTGACCTTAGGAATTCTGGTGTTGTTCACTCTAATTTACAAATGGCCTGTCTGTACTTTTGGTTTTGATACAAATACTTTTCTAGTCTAAGCTCTTGTTTAAATTCTACATAAATATCAGATTGATTGTGTTTGTGTCGTACCTCCAGCCAAACCACGACAGTTGGTCCGTCCCACTGGGCGAATGGCAGGCCCTGCCTGCGAGCCTCCTCCAGTAATTCATGCCTGAGACACAAAATATATATTAAAGCCAATATGCAGTAAGAGTTCACATGCCCAGAAACCCACATATAGCCAAAGAGCCCTCATAAACTCCCAATATGCACTCAACCAAATTCCCCTTCGGAACACACATGTACACAAACCCAAGACATCAACCGACATGCATACTCAAACCAGAGAGCAGGAGTTTGAGAGAAAACAAAGAAATTGAAACCCAGGAAGACAGAGACATGCTCATCTGGAAAACCTTCAACAGAATGTCATTAGTTAAAAGTATTAAGAAAAAGCACCGGCCCATAAAGACCAGTGTTTTTAAAACCTCCTCAGTATTTTTCAAGCCTCGACTATCCAGGTTTAACCAGATGGCTCTTTGGTTAAGCCTCTGGGAGATGACTGGAGGTCACCGCCAGGGCTTCAGGATTGAGCAAGTTTATTAGTAAGCAGAGTTTTCTCCCAGAACCAGTGCTTTGAGAGTCCACTTAGAAAATGACTTTAGTATGGATGCATTCCTCTACAACTGTAGTATAACATGCACAGAGGGAAGTATTTAGAGCAGGAAAACCTTTGCAACGACTTCCTAAGTTCTGTACATCCACTTCATGCACATTCTAGTCTTTAATGAAGGAACAATGCCATTCCAGTCCCTGGAGGTTTCTGGGGATGTTGGAGGGCAGCTTCTGATTCAAGTTCTCTGAAAGTTCTTTTGATTTACTAGCAAGGCTTGACTGATGCTATAAAATAAAGAATGTGGTTCTACTTGGCCACTAGATGGGGCTATATGCCACAGATCACTGATAGAGAACAAGCTCATCCTCTGTTTGGCAGATCTGCCATTATAAAAAGATTAACAGACATGTCCAAAAGCTTAACTAATAAATTAGTTTCACAGTGATTGTGCTGAAGTTTATTACATGATATCTTTAAACATACGTCTCCATAAGTTTGAAAAAAATCATATAAATAAACTTCAGAAAACAGACAAAATGCCTACTGTTTGCTTAAATTCTTCCATTAACTATCTTTCCTGTAGTTGTAGTGCATAACTTCATGCTCCGATAGGAAAATGTGTCACTCACTAAAAGTCAGCACACACACATTCCTGTTAGTTAAGCTCCTCTGTGGAAAGCAGGGTAAAGAGCAGCATGGAAAAGCCATCAGACATTCGGAGGGACAGTTGTTTGGGGTCCTCAGAGTTACTGGTGAGGTCAACGTGAAGCCAAGTGTGGAAAGAAGATAAGGCAAAGCAAAAGCAATATGAACCAACTTACCCGGTCTTTGGACTACACATGGAATGAGACGGGGATGATAAAAAAGAAGAGGGAGGTTGGCAAAACAATACAGAGAAAGAATGAACTGATGCTAATTTAAGAGCCACATGGAAGCAAAACAACATTTAGGGTGTTTGCAATATGTTTGCACTAAACTAAGAATGAAAGGAAAGAAAACATGAAAGAGCTGTGGGAGATGAGTGCAATGGAAACGACTGGGTGTGGAATGAAAGGAAGACGAGCTGATTGGAGGGAGCGTGGGTCAGATGGCGTGGAGTGAGCGTGTGACGGAGCTCTGGACTGCAGCAGGAGCACCAAGCCCACAGTGACACATGGACTTTTACATTCTATTAACATTGTACAGTAACAGTAGAAGCATCCTGTAGGGCAGCATGGTTATCTCATCATCTTTAAATGTCTTTTCTCAGTATACATAAACGGTGGAGACAGCAGAAGCTGGGGGAACTGTTAGGATGACACTTACTTCTTCTGCAGCTTCCTGTTCTTCTCTGCAGGGCCTCCCAGAGTGCCCATCCCTAAGCCATCCTTAGGAGAGCTCTCTGCCTCCGGAGTGCCAGCTAGCAACACAGAAAACCTCTTGTTCAGAGATGTGACAGGACCAGGAACACAGCAAAACCGGTAGCGTGGAATAACACTATATTTACATAAACCCTGTGCCTAGTCTCTGACCTTGGCTGGGGGAGTCCTTGCCGGGAATGCTGGGTCGGCCCTTCTCCTTCTTCCCAAAGAGGCGACCGATGGAAGACTTGATGCTCTTCTTCTTGGCTGCTTTGTTGAGGGAGTCCTGGCTGCTGTTACTACTGCTGGGGTTACTACCCTGGCCGTCCTGCAGGCCAGCCAGACTACGGGACCAAAAAGTAAGTGATTAGATGGAGAGATTATAGAGGGATGAAAGAAAATGATTTCTTTCTTCAGGAACAGACGGGATTCTTACCCTCGAATGTCTCTAATGTCCTCATGGCTTGCAGCATGCCCTACATCCCTGTTTAGGCGCATGGAGCGTGGAGTGGTGGGGGGTGACGTCTCACATCGGATAGTGGCCTTGTCATCCTGAGCAGACTGCAGAACAGTGGGAGAGACGCATGTTACTCAGGTGAATCATTCATTATTGTGGCCAGTCCATATGTACATTGATGGATTTCAAGAGGAGAATTACAGGAATATAAGTGTAGCTGTACTACTGCTTACACAACGGCTAAAAAGACACTAACACTGTTTTCCAAAACTAGAAGAATTAACTCTGCGAGCAAAAACAGAAACATCGGACCAAAACAAAGTAATAATGACAATTTCATTTCAGAGGAAAAAATGAAGGCGCAAATGATGGACTGACCAGGAAATAACATCTGATCCGGCTACTCACTACAGCATTAATTATATTATTAATTATGTTGTGCTAATCTTAAGTTTTGGTACCGAGAAGCCTATTAAAGTACCAAAGTCATACTGGTAGTATTGTACCTCAATGTTTTCATTCATTCAACTGACCCATGACCTCCTGATAACAGGTCACCTTTTGTAACATCTACAGTATTTTGATTTCCACTTCAGTCTACACTGCCTCTGTCTCTACAAAAATGTAGCGTTGGAAGACTGTCAAGGTGACTTGCTAACCACCATAGCAGTGGAAAAAAATAAAGCCACTGAAAGACACTGTGGATAATGAGAACAACACCTCCGCATGTTTGAGATTCTGAGAGTGAATGCAGGAGGATCGATTCCAGATGGTACATTGTGGGATGGAATGGAGGAAGTAAAGACTGACACTGTTGAATTGGTGACGCTAAGTTTGGGAGGAGATGGGAGTGAGGATAATAGACAAGTAGCCGACAGAGCCCAGTAAAGCAGGTCTCTAGTTTACCTTCCTGCGGTGCTTGCGCAGGTCACTAGGCTGAAGCATGGCAAAAAAGGAGAGAGGAGAAAAAAAGCAGTTAGTTAGACGCACAACAGACCAGCGGCGGAACAAAGCCATGCACAAACACACAGGAGCAGGAAATCAACCAACATACAGTACATATACATTGATCCATGTATATTCGGCACACACACACACACAAAGTGTCAGTTTAATTTATGTAGTGAAGACGTGCAGTTCATGGGAAAATGCAGTGTGCAGGAGCAGCACAGCACCCGAGCAGGAGACACAGCAAAACAACCACGCTGAAGGTTGGTTCAGGATGGAAGGATGGGTGCAGTCTAGCTCATGGAAACTGACAGAGGAAGTACACACTTTATAACTATAACTTCTTAGTGAAATCTATTTGAATAGTTGAACAAATCGGTATCAAAAATACTTCTGATTAGTGTCTGAGAGCTGAAATCCCGATAAAGCCAGTCTTTGTGATATTACCCACTTGGTCAAGGGCAGTGTGACACCTGAATTTATGAACCGGAGCTGTTCTGGTCATATTTTCCACTGTGCATCTATAAAAGGGGGAGGATTTCTTTTCCTCTACTGCATTCCTCACAGGCCTGGCATTAGCAGAGCAAATAAACCAGCAGCGTGCCACATTTCTATGGGAGTTTCTCTTGCCCCCAGGAGGAAAATACCTAATCGCTCATTTCCTCTCCTCAACTGACACACCGAGGCCAGGGCAAGGAAGAGATTAGTGAGCTATAAAAGGGAAACCGGAAGAGGAAATTGAGGGGGTAAGCAGAAAATGTATTTAAACACCCAAAATGTTTCTTTTATTCTAGGATCTTCTTATTTAGGAATTGGAGGACATTTTGACGAGTTTCGCACATGCTTTGATAGTTTACAAAGGAAAGATTAAAAACTATGTTAAGGCAGACAGTTGTTTCTCGGACATTAGCTGCCAAACTAAAAGCAGTACTCCTTTCACGTCTAATGTTTTACAGCCCTAGTTCAAAAGACTTAATTAAGGGTATAAATCATTACTCTCAGCAGAACAGCATGCCAGCTTTATACTACAATAGTTCCACAACAGTTGGATTAAACAATAACCGCTCTGCAATCAAGCCAATGCATGATGACTTCATTTTTTATCATGCAGGGACTGAACACATGCAGGTACACCTTGTGCTTGACTTAATTCTTGAAATTGTACGATCACAAATTCCTGAAAGGACTGAATGATGAGTAACGCTCCAGCTCCAGTGTTAACAGGAAAACCAGTGACATTAAAGCTCCCTGGAACCAACATTTCCACCCCCGCTAATTGTTATGTTTTGAAATTCAACGGTGTTCTAAGAATCGTGGCTGCAGGGAAGGGGTTTATAAGAATGCAAGCCTCGGAGCTGGACCTACAGAAACAAGAGTCATTTCCATAAATAAACAGGCTCAGTTGTGTGGTACTGCTGAAACAAGGCAGTGAGTTGCAGTAAATGTTGTAAATCCAGCATAGCACGGTGACTGTGCAGCAAGCTCCAAGAGACAACATTACCAAACATAGAATAAAGCAGTAGCAGCCTGTTACACAGACCTGTGGCCAAAAACAAAGCAAAGGGAGCCCTGTGCACAGACTACAGCATCAGAGGGCCACAGGTGAGCAGGAGGAGCTCACAGGTGCAGAAGGGGTGTGTGCACTCCAGTTTCTGAACCAAAACAACTATGTTTTTGTACTGCCAGTATTAGCCATAAAAGGGAATTCTGGTCACCAGAAAGAGGTGTGTCCCTTTCAACTCATTGTTCAAATACTCACATGTATCTAGAATAATGATGAAAGAGCACTGACAGTCACCTGTGCTTTTGTTCATGGGGTATTATTTGAATTTCACAGAGCTCAAATGAACCACATGATGAAATTCTTTCTTCAAGGTTTACGCCTGTTTTTGTCTCGCAGCATCCCACAAACCTCCCGTGAAGAACTTTTCACAACAAAGTGTATCCCAGATCAATGGAGCAACAGCCAGTGTTTCAGGCTTTTAGTGTACTACTTAATAAGCGGGAACGACAAAAAATGTCACATTTCAGCTCACCTCTATAACAAAATATCTGCACATGAAATGTCATCAGACAATAACTGATGGCTTCTGAGACTGCATTTTAGTCAATGCCTTCCACCTCTTTTGCTCTCAACACAGTTTGCTACCAAAGCCCGCCAAAAAACCAGAAGGCTTCCTATGCCAAAATCTTGTACATTAATCCTGGAAAGGCATGGGACTATATGAAAATGTTCACGTTATCTTGGCCATACACAATATATTATCATGATAACCATGAAAATATACTTCATAGTTTTAAAAATGGCACTAAAACATACTAGAATCCCTTCACATTTTGTTAAGAAACATTTATTTATTGCATCACAGATAGGAAACTCATGATGATTATGAAAGATGTGGGCTCCCCCTTAAAATCCCCTTCAAATTAAATCAGGAAAACAATATAGGACTGTATGCTGGCAAGCTAGAGAGCTTTTTCCAAGTCAAGCCATGTGAGGATAATCACAATTATCCCGATTTATGATGAGTGAGTGTTTTAATTACAATGCGCGATAATATCGTATCTGGTCCCATCCTAATCCTGGATGAACATACAGCTCTTTAAATGCCAACTAGACAGGTTTAATGAGCAAGAGGTGTCTGTACGTAAATGGAGAGCTGACCTAATTTCACAATGTTGCGATGTGCTATAACACCCCTCTGAGGCTGAAGTCTTATGTTTCTTCGTCTATTTCTGATTATATCTGTAATCTGTAAACCATTTTATTGTTGATAGAAAAGGGAAAGCCGACCAGTCTTTAAGGAAAACAGTCTAATTCTTCTTATTCATGACATAATTTGACCTGATTTAGTTGCAGTTTGGTTCTTAGTTTCATAAACAAGCTCTTTCTGCACAAAAAAAAAAATTGATATTCACATTTATTCTAGGAGCACAGTTATGCATTTAGCACACAATGGGGGGAAAAAGGCTTTTAAATGTCCTGTGTGTGTCTTGAGAGGAAACAAGGAACAGAAAAGAAAACGGAGGAGGAGGAGGACTGCACCCATCCAAGGAGAAGAAGAAGGGAGCTGTGGAGATCTAGCGGTACCTGAAAGTATGGTGCATAGCTATAGGCTTGAGGGGGAGGACTGAAGCCAGTTGCACCATAGGGCAGGTAAGTTACTGTCTGCTGGGAGAGGGAGCTCTGGATGATGTAGGGGTCATAGCAATATTGCTAGGGGCAGGGGGCAGTTACATATACACATGGTTACATACTCTCATGCATCCACGCAAATTAAAATAGTTAGTGCACTAATCACCCTGGTGAGAGGAGACAGCATAAAAACACAACATCAACATGGAGACAAGCAAGTTCTAATATATACGGAAGAACATAAACTCTTAGATCTAAAACTACAAGACGACAACAAACCAAAACACCAACATGAAAATAATTACAACTGAAACTATAACTATCAATTATTGGACTTTTGTAATGACAGAAATGAGTGCTAGAGTGTCCTGAGGCATTAAAGCACTCGTATGATCCTGTCTGGCAAACATATTAAAGTAAAGGAAGTGTTACCAAGGTCATGACCCCCATTCGGTCCAGTTCTCTGTTGGGGCTGCGGGGAATGCGTCTGGGCGTGGAGTGGCCGGAGCCTGGGGGGGAGCCGCCCAACGAGGAGCCTGCACACAGTGACGGAGGGATGGAGCTCATTGAGCGGAAACGTCCTCCCAGGCTATCGCCGCTGCCCACCCGGCACTCAATCTCCTCTGCCCGGATGGCTGTGCTCTCCTTCTCCTCCTGGATCATTCTGCAGCGATAAAGGAAGGAGGAGGAGGTGGTGAATTTAAATTAAAGCTCTAATTCTCAACATTTCTGATTAAAAACATGAGGCGTGGTTTTGGTGTTTGGTGGCTATGCAGCTGCTGGTACCTGATTTCATTGTTGATAGCGTCCAGCTGCTCCTGCAGCATTAAGGCGAGGGTCTGTGCGTCAGCCTGGCCACCAGGGGACAGCAGATCCACCGAGCTGAAAATCGTCTCTCGGTCCTCCTCCAGGTCTGAAGCATCCATGTCACTCTCAAAGGCCTGAGCCACATTTGCCAGCACGTTGGCCTGCTGCATGCGCTCCCACTCCTGCTCATTCAAAGTCTGCACCTGAATGAATCCATACAGGAACAAAACAGGGAATGGAGAGAAAACGGAGGGAGAGATAAAGATACCAAGAGTATTCAGACACAGAAAGTGGATATTGAAAGTAGAAAAAGGATAATGTAGGGAGAAAAGGATAAAACAGACAGAGAAAGCAACAGAGTGATAGAGAGAGGTTAGCTGGATTTATAATGTATTTGTCATTAATGCACCACACATAAACTGTCACTGTCATCTCCACCACACTGACTTACATGTCGCTGATGTCCATTGTGGAAGCAAACAGAAAGAAATGGAGAAGAAGAAAATCATCAGACAGAACTTAAACATTAGACTGAAACAGGTAGAGGAAGGAAAAAGGTACACGATACGAAGAACAAGTGTTACGAGGAAGACAACACAAAAATCATTTAGTGTTTATGTCAACCTAAATCAAAGAGTGAACCTATAGTGGACACGTAGATATTTCATTGAGTATTGTTTAGGGTTGGGTATCGTTTTGTTTTTTCTCAAACCGGTGATAAAATTACTTTTTAAACAGCACTGTTGCTAAATGGTACCTGAACAGATACTTCAGCAGAAACATTAGAATTAGCTATATATTACATTATATTAGCTAAGCTGTCATCATCATCCATAATTTACCCATTAGAGATAGAAATGGCAAGTCATTATGATATGTTACTGTTTTATATCTATGCCGGGACCAGGCACACCTACACTGCCGGTTGATCTGCTCAGCGTGGATTAGGGTTGCATGCAGTCGAGTACAGTGCATCCCTCTGCTTTCAAGTGTATTCTGTTCCTTGCCAGATGTTTCCCCCCTTTAAACACAGCTAGCTAAAGGTAGGCAACCTGCTGCCAGAGCCACGTGGAGAGACAGTTGCTGCTGAATGTGAACTTCGCTACCCAACCCTAGTGTCGTATTTAAACAATTAATAAACAAGTAAACATCAGATGACCTGGGAGCCCACCTTGGATGGCTCGTCCCGGAGCGCTGCCATCCGTCCTTTTTGAGGCCGTCTCAGCACAAGAGCGCTGCCATAATGGTCCGAGTTACTGTCCATCATCGAGGAAGCCGACACTGGATACCTGAAATCTGGAGTGCTGCCCAGCTGAGACCGACTGGAAAAGCACATTAAAAAAATCCATCAGAAAGACTCTTAGGGGTCAGAGGTTAAAACTGAACTCTACCAGTTAACTGGCTTACCCATGTAGTAAGGAGTTACTCCTGCTTCTACCCTGCTCGTTCTCTGCCCTCATGGTCTCAATCTGGATCAGGAGCTGCTCCTATAAGAGAGGACATTTACAGACGTCGTGAGAACTTGGCTGAGATACAAAGTCTGTAGCACTAAAAGAAAAACACCACCATTGCTTGTGTTTAAAATAATAAAAACACAAATTATAAATTCCATCCAAACACACAGAATCAGGGCGAGAATCAGCTAAATGATGCTTCACCTTCTCATGGTGAGACTCCTCAATCAACTTCTTGGTGTGCTCCAGTTCTCTTATGAGGGCATTCTGAGGAGAGACAGAAATAAACTGACACGCTGGCAAATAAACAATGACTGAGCTACTAACCATGCACCATCATATGATGTAATTACCAACTAGTCATGGGACACACACAGTAGATGAACCACAAATATTTATCACAGCGAAGAATTTAGTGCCTGCCTCTTTGCTAGCCAACCTCCAACTGTAAACCTTCATTGCACCACTGATCACATGTATGAATTATTCACCTTATCCTCCAGAGCAGACATCCTCTCTTTGAGGTGAAGCTGGAGTCTCTCGTTGGACTCTGAAAGGAGCTTGTCCACCGTCTCTGACAGACGCTTGTTGTGCTCCTCATTCATCTTCTCTCGCTGTCGTGCCTACACAAACAGAAAAACAACATTTTAAAAAAGGTACACATGTTAAAACTATGGCAATAAAGCTGCGAGGAAAAGGCCTCGTGTAGCGTTCCCTCTTTCTCACCCTGAGCAGTTCCTGGTTCTTCTCCTCCAGCTGGGCCTCCAGCTGCTTCAGTCTCTCCTCCACATTGCCGTGGCGTTCCTCTGCCTAAAAATGGGGAACAATAACAAAATCTTCATCTTTTCTGTACTAAGCTACACAAGTGTCTCAGTTCATTCATCCTCTCAGAGCTAATGAGTGTCTCTAGTGCTGGGCTTTGATTTCTCCTACAGTGCTTTGTCATCCATTCTGGAGAAGGACCTCGCTGAGAAAAGGCCTAAGCTTGGCCCTGTTTGAGGTTTTGGGTGCAAAGTCCAAATCCTTCAGAAGGATGGGGCCACCAACACGAACAGCCTGGGAAGCAAGCACCTACAACTTACAGCTAGAGGTTTGAGAATCATGCAGCAGCTGCATTAGGAGAGGACAGCAAAGTGGCACGCCCCACAGGAAGACAACACGTCAAAAACTACAACAAATACAGCAGCCAATACTTCCCATAATGCCAATCTACCACAGAATCATCACAGCTCTACCAAGGACCACAGGCATGTTTATGGGAATAATGATTACTGGCTCAAACAACGGTTAAAGGGTAACTTTGACATTTTTTAACCTGAACATTTGTTTCCAGTGTCTTTGTGTCTAACAGACTAATGGGGACAACACTTTTTGAAATTGGTCCCTTATTGAGTTAGAGTGCTGCAATTTTTCTGGGATCTTTCCATAATGTTGTCAGACACTCATCTGAGCCTGTCAGAGGCAAAAACAAGCACTTTTAGTGGATGTACTTAAACAATGCACATTGGCCCACAGGATCACACTGTAACCCGTTTCGTGGTTCCTTCAGCGCTCTCACTAAACAGTGGACCAAATTCAACAACTGATTATTTCTTTTAGTCATTTTGACATGGAAACAAACATGGGAAAATAAGGTTGAAAAAAATACAGGTTACCCTTTAATTAAATATTTCATCTGTAATTAGGCATGTTGAAAAATATATCCAGTGTTTAATAGCAGATATCATCAGTCTGTTGGCTCTTAATTACATAAGGGCCAATAGACTGGTAAACATCTTTCTGTGGCACAGCCTGTTCCAGTTCTCAGTAGCTCTAATGGGCAGGGTCTCCTTTGAGCAGATCAGCTGGCACTTCCTGTTTGTGTTAGACACCAAACATTAGGGTTTTCTGTGTTTGAGAAAAGAGGAGAAGTACCAGCATGACGGCCTGAGCAACACAGCTCTCTAGCACATAAAGCACAAACACACAGGCGTACAGGGGAAGGTCATGTCAGGGCCACCAGGTTTCAGGTTCAATACGATATCACAGCATTTTGATATATAATCTGAAACTGCACTTAACCAGGCACTTGTCATGTGAAGGATAAATTATAACTGAAGTCAGAGATGTTGGTGATTTTTGTTTGTAATGTTTTACTATTTTAAGGAATATACAATCATTGTTGTACAGTAGTTATGTAAATATTACATAAATAGTACCATTAGTTTCTATTGGCCCGGTTAAGTTCAGTAACAGAACTGAACTGAGAGTTTTTCGGGTTGAGCGGGTTTAGCTCTGTGAGTAAAGCTGATCTACCTTCTTCTGAGTCTTAGCGCCTTTAGAGCCACACAGAACACACTAGGGGTTAGACAAGGAGGTGGTACGGGCAGCATGAAGACCACACAAAAACAGACCATGACAGACAGACAGAAAGAAATGAGAGAGGAGAAAACATGGTTTGCTTTTAATGTGAACTTTAGCACAATCAAACAGAGCGTTTGGAGGGAGAAAATGGACAGATGCTGTAGATTCAGCAACGGAAAGTGACTTTAATGACTGTTGTCACTTCAATTTCTAGACTTGAAGACAGAAGAGGTAGACAAACAGATGACATAGTGTGTGAGTAATAACACAATGAGGGATCTTATATTAGACTGATAATTGTGCTACAAGCTCCTCCAAGTATGAGAGGGTGGAGAAAAGAATGGATGATTTATGTCGGTGTCTTGGAACTGCATGGGGGCAATATTAAAGAAATACAGATGTATTTCTTTCCCATCTGTCTCTCTGCCATGTTCTGTATAACAAATATGTGGCTTAAGCTCTAGCTAAAGAGTCAGGATAATTACAAATGCATGCAGGAAACAGTTTAGATGACAAAAACATCTAAAAACATTTTTGTCTTGACAAAAATGTCTTCGTACTTTTGTTTTTGTCATCATAAGTATGTTTTTTATTAGTTTTTGTCATTGCAAAAATTAAGTTGAAAACTATGATGAGAAATATTAGCCAAAAAAGTTCACACTGCTTTGTATGTCCATGTCCATCTGTTTCTTCTGTTCTGGTTTTCCTTTTTGTGCAAATATGGAAAGTGTGTATGTGTATGTTCTTCTAGAACAGAGTAAATTCTAATCAAAATAGACAAAAGTAAGTACTGAAGCAATTACAAAAAAGAGGCAGCTGCATCTGCTTGATAAACTACAAAAGCCTCAGATGAGAATAAGAATGAATGCTAACTTAAACTTCAGAGATGTACTGTGAGCCAGTTCTGATACTAATAAGGTGCTAAATAGCCTGTGCAGCAGCAGCATGTGTTGTCCAGGACAAAGATTCAAACTATAAATGGACAAAAACATGAGCCAAAGCTCTAAAAATAGGTCCCTGTGGCTATTTGAAGTAACATAAACAATGGCTTCCACAGAAGTTTCCGCGAGAGCTCCAAGTCGTTGCAATGTAAAGGAACTGAGGTAACATCCTGGACGTTATGTGTGCTGGTGCCTACTGTATGTTTAGCTTAGGATCAGTTAGATGAATGCAGTTTTAGTTAGTTCATATTAACTCATTTGCCTCAACAGATAGACCAATGGAAGATTCAATAAAAGGTTCATTTCATTTTCTAAGGCCTCTGATTACTACTACTACTACACTGACATTACTAATCAACATGTTAACATGCTGTTTAGTATTTTATTAAACGTATAATGTGTAGTTTAGGGGTCTCTAACAAAATCTCCATTGCCAATTGAAATCTATCTGATGTGACTTTCTCGCACTCCTGCCGTCGTGTTAACAGGAAGTTATAGCAACTAGAGATAAGAAATGTACCACTGCTGAAAACAATGGGGTTAAAGTACACAACTCAACATAACATGGAACATAGATCGAGTCTTTTTTTAGACACTTTTATGCAGAAATTTTTAATATTACTCATTTAAATCTCGACCATAAAAAGAAGTTAAAAAAAAGGTGTGTTGAGAGGCACACGGGCTGGTGGACAGGTGCTAGTACCTTTGTGAGGGCAGCTACTCTTTGGGCTAGCTCTGCTTCCACCTCAGGCAGAGTCTCTGCCTTGCGGATGGTCTGCTGCAGCTTCTGCTCAGCCAGCTCCAGCTTCTCTTGGAGTTGCCGGTTTCTGTCCTCAGTCTACAACAAACGAACCAAGAGCAAACAGTCATTAGCAAGCATGTTAAAGACGTGTCTGTGCTACATCCTGGCCTCAGGGTTAGCTCTCGGTTCAAGGTGAAGAGAGTGGCAAGAAATAAGACTGTAGGTCAGGGAGAGGGAGAGAGAGAGGGAGGGAGGGAGAATAAAGGGAGAGGGGGGGAAGTAAGGGTGGGGTAGGCAGGAAGTGAGGAAGAGAGCATTCATAATGACACAAAGACAGACAAAACCCACAAGAAAAGAGGAGAGAGACGTCTCCATCTCAGTGAGTACATGTAAAGAAACGAGCCAGTGTCTTTGAGGCTTCCCATTCACTGCCTGCTGCGCTGGTCACTGTGTGAATACAGCAGGAATTCATTAGCAGGGGTTTGAGAACTGCAGGCCATTCCTGCTGGAAGACAACTCTGAGACTCAAAATTAACATGTCTTATCTACTCTAGGTCAGATTATAACATGGAGATGTTAGGGGTGTGATGAGATACGGGATCTTAAATGATGCAGGAACTTAACGGCTCAAACATGACTGCATCATTCAAGTACAATAAAAGGCTTCAGTAATCAGTGGCGGAACTAGACTTTTATACAAGGGATGGCCAGAGGGTGGTCAAGACTTTATGAGGGGGGCCATATACTAGGCCTAATAAAGTAAAAATGTGGGATGCCACAGGTCGGATTCGAACCTGCGCCACTGCAGCAGCTCTGTATAAGGGCCGTCAGCTCTACCGACTGAGCTAAACTGTCGCCAACACTATCAAAATATCACCTGGACTGACGTGAAGTTTCACTTTCAGTTTCTGGCACAGCAATTAAACCGACACACCCGTGGGAAAAGTCAGTGTCTTGGTGTTACGACCCGGCTCGGAAGGGGAAAGGGAAGCAACATAAACCAGATGGTTGTTAAATTAAAGTTACTTATTAATACAGAGAGTTTAACAAAA